GGAATTTTGCTGGATTCACAAACTTGTTATTATACAAATTGATGACATCGCTCTGTCACATTAATTCACGGCACCTTGTCGTTAGTAATATTTTGAGACGGAAAATAATTTAAATATTATCATCATATAGTCATTATAGAACATTTACAAAGTTTTTACTTATAACATACTAGCTCATCTTCGTACAGCCTTAAAGTCAATGAATGTAACAGATTAGCTAAACTTAATATATGATTTTAGGAAAGTAATACTATGAATACAAAATGAATATTAAATTCACTACTATCACCGAATTGCATTACACAACATGTCATATTTTCTTTAGTTTATTCAAAAGAAATTTCTAAACGCACGTATAAATATTTGACAATCAAAAAGAGTTTTTCTAACTTGATCTAAAATACCCCACTATCCGAATAATGTGGATATATCTTGTCGATTCGAAGTCTTTATTTAATTACGTTATTAAATTTGAGGAGAGGTCTCTGTATCGATGGGATGAGCAATGTTTGACAGTTTTCATTAAGAGCGGCCAACTCGTCTATCTTTTCATACAAACGCTCGTACGTGATTATGGCGTTGTAACAGATATTTCTTTGAATCTTTTGAACTAATAGGCATTTTGTGCACTATATCTAGGTTTCTATTAAAACGCGAAATCACAATTTTAAGAAACAAATTCAGTACAAACCTCCAAAATTCTGCTTTTATGCACAAATTTTATATGAAGTTTCGGCGTTTATAATGTACTCATTAATTGTAACCGGAAATAAATATTTGCATAGAAACCTTGCAAATGTAATGGAGTTTCTAAATGGAAAACTTTTTTTTCATAATCTTGTAAGGCTTACGAAAAAACACGTATTTCTTGGAACAAGTTTTATGAAATTTCCGCACACTATTTTTCTTTCAATTTTATCGCGTTCTCACTTGCTTGTTAGCCATTTTTATGAATGGTTCGCTATCTATCTATGCTATCTCTTTTCGCTTTACCTCTTGTTCTGACATTGCGCTGGATGAAACAACAAGCTTTTTGGCCATGCTCGCGTTGCCGTTCGTCGGACGGGGAAGGGCGCTCTTAAGACAAATCGGTCCAGCGACCCTCGAGTTATAACTGTTCAGACAACTCTGACTTTGTTTAATATATTAAGATTGAAATAACTTAAAAAGTATTGGTATTGTGAAATTGGTTCGTATATTTTTTAGTGCTATGATAATTAATGTATTTATCGTACAACAATCTTCTATATATTAAAAAAATTACATGATACCGTAATTTATTTACTATCCTTTACAAATCTTACCATTAGTAATGCAGTTTTTGGTATGTAAAATGTAATACAAATTTTATAAAGACGTGTTTGATTTTATTCCAACGAAGTGTTTGCAAAGGCCTCACAAGCTCCATTTAAAGTAACGGAAGTGAATATAGATTGAAACAAGTTTTAAAATATTGTCTCAATTTTAAATAAATGCGCCATGTCGAAGAACTCTCGGCCTTACCTTGGGCCTCATTCCGAAATTGAGAAAACCGGAACTGACCTGAGTTCGAGGTCGTTCTGAAGGAAGACTAAACTTAGATGAACTAATATTTACTGAAGTTGGCTATAAAAATGTCCCTGTGATGTTACCTTGAAAATAATTACGCCTGACAAAAGATTTTAACTATTGCAGACCTAATCAATAATTTAATACCGTTATAATGGGAACCGTTAAATGAATTATGTGTCTATTTAGTTGCCAATAAATTAAAACATTGTGAATTAAATTCAATGCGGCATTAGCTTGAAAGTATTACACAGATCTTTAATCTGGGTCGTACTTAAAACATATAATCATATACTAACAGTAAAATGTCAGGGATAAATAGTTTTGACTGTTTTACATTAATTGAGCAGGAAAAGAACCTCTAAAGAGGTCAGTGTTGTTAATTTTAATGTATATACGTCCTTGAAACTTTATGATATGTACAATTATATACTACACGGTAATTAACATTTGGTTTCTCTATAACCCTACCAATTGTATTTGCAAGCCCTAGTTGCACTTTTAATTACAATTTCTATATGTCGGAGGATTGGCGCTGGTATTAGCTGCCATTGTCATTATTATTTAACAACACCAAAGTCAAATTAGTTCAAAACCGTCATAATATGGTTTATTTGATGTAGTAATTTCTTTATTATTAATGGTCCTACATTATGACTACTACAGTTAGACTACAAAGGCAGCTTAATAAATTATAATGACAATGGCATTAATATTGACATTGAAATATAACTCGTAGATTTCGACTTAGGATAGATAACTTTTATCACGATTACACTATAATTATAAAAGTTGCCAAAATAAAAGAATAATAATATTATATACAAAACCATTATTTAGTTCCGTAGTTTAGTCGCAATGCTATAACTGTTTCGTATTAGAAGGTTCACAGATCTGTCCCCGTATGATACATTGCAGGTAAAGTAACTTTGCTATGTAATATTAGTACTATGTAGTATTAATACTAATATGATATCCTTTCGTCGTTTTTCTCGTCACGCCGCGCTCAATGAGATCATACGCCGGTCTCTTGCCTCCGTCAAAAAAGGTTAAAGGTTGGTGGACTCAGTTTCCGCACTTAAACTCTCACTAGGTACGTTGTGCGTAACCGTTATTGCCTCCGTCAATCCAATCCATTTAGAAGCCCACGGACATCGCTAGAGAAGATGGCAAACGGCCGGATGGGTAGTCTTTGATCCATGGTATGGGAGGCTACTTGTAACTTGGCCACGTTAGCCCCGTCTTACCTTTGTCCCCAAAAGCTGGCGTAAAATGATAAACAGCTCAAATGTAAGAGTCTTTCCTCCAACTATGATTTTGTTCCCTTTGGATAAGAGACTCTTCGACCGTGGGTTCAAGTGCACAGGTGCTAATTAAAAATTTAAGTTGGTGCCTGGTAGTACCGGTGACCCAGAGCTGGTGATTTCCTCGCCCAACGAATAAATAATACATCGAGGAAATGCTGCCAGCATTATAGCTTTATTTATATTTATCAATTTTTAATTATTTATTTATTAACTATTTATTATATACAGTGGCGGATTTACCAGCAGGCTGAGTAGCTGACCTAGGCGCAAATTTTAAGGGGGCAAATTTATTCATAAATTTTTTATTTCGGTTTACAAATTTAAAAAAATAATATTATACACACACATAATACGAATTTCGAAAATTGGAGAGAAATTAATATATTTAACAAAAATCGAAATATTCTCATATACAGTGCTAATTAATAAATATTTCAACATCTCTGCATGAACAATTCCTAAACGCTTTACTAATTATACATTAATGATTATGAACTTTTAGAATATCGCGATTCGATATTATAATCGAAATTTAGTAATTTTTAACTATATTCTTCACTGATAACTGCAATAATTTTTTCTCGTGTACCTAATAATTATGAGATCTGCTTACCCCAATTCAATCGAATAATATCGATGGTCTAATAAAAATACTGACTAAAATTGACTAATTTTTATTAAATAAAAAACTAGTTCAATATCTTATAGAGATCATATTAATCAAATAACTGATAGTTGAACGACTGAGACTTGACAATAAAAAAATTCCCTCCACAAAATATGAAGTGAGACAATTTGCTCATTACAAAATTGATACATTTTATCAGTTAATTATTTTATTTGCAGTAAGAAAAAGTTTGGAAAATCCAAATGAGCAGGCCTTAAGCGCTCATGTCGTACACGAATTATTTAAATTAAATGTTTACATCAGTAGATTTGATAACTTTTTCGCAAAGCCAACTTTTTCAGAAAATGCCAATCGGAATGTATGAAATATAATAAGATAAAACAATACTCAGCTGCATTTTTTTATTCAACGGATCATTAATAAGTCTGTCTTCATTCCTGCAAGAACAGAATCTAGGAAACATTTATACAAACTTGGATATAGGCTATAGCACTTCGTATGGCTCTTTGTACACCAGCGGCAAATTGTTCAGGTGAAAGAGGCTTCTCTTGCTTGAGAAAAGAACTACTACGATCGACTTTAAGTCAAGAAAAGCTAAACGCTTTAGCTCTCTTGTGCATAGAGTCAGAGCTAATGAACAAGATTTCGTACGACGATATAATAAATGATTTTGCGAATTCAAAGCCTCGCAAAAAAATGCTTTTATAATTTAACTTAAATCATAATGCTAACAAATAATAAAGAAAAGATATATTTCTTGTATTGTTTTTAAACTGTGAGTGTAATAATAAATGTTAATCAACGTTCGCCAAATGTATGTTTTTTACGTAAGCTTAATTTATATTTTGTAAGTATTGTATAGTTTTAAGACATACCTTACCTTACTTTAAAAGTGGTATACGATTGAGATATTTTTTCCTTAAAATAATGTTTTTTGATAATTCTTTGCTGTAAAAATAATCAAGGATCTAACACGGTACCATAGTTCTCAATAATAATAACTATATGGGAAAAGTTGATGTCACGAGGATGATGGAGCAGAAATTATTAAGTTGGAATTTTATTGATAGAAAATTGATATGATTGTGGACTTAGATATCAAAATTTAGAGGCGGCAAAAATTGAATAGCCTACGGGCGGCAAATCTATAAATCCGCCACTGATTATATAGTTAAGGGAATATACCTTAGATAGAGTTATTACCTAGAATTGCACCATTGTAAACATAAGTCATCAGAATTGAGTGTCAGTGGACGGTAATGTAACGTGACAGTAGGAAGCGAATTTCTCCGCTCATCGCTTCCTACTACTGCGGAAGGAAATCGCAAATAGAGATCTCATGAGATTACTTGATTCGGTCAAAAATATTTACAATTAAATTTTTTATCGGAAAGCGACTGCAAATTAATTTTATTACGAGCTTATTAAATAGTAATGCTTTAGCTAATTCGGCCATTTACGCTGGATATAGTACACTAGTGTATGCGCAGACGTAAGTGCGAGCGCATTTGTGTATTATGTTTTTTACTTTAGATCCGTTCATGAAAGAACAGAGTCATCAGGGCACAATTCCACACGGCCCGATGCCAAGTGAGCACAGGTTTTCTCTTTTTATAGGTTATTTTGGTTTCTTTATTTATTGAAGTTATACCAGTTTTAGCGCGTTAGGGAAAAATGATGAGAGTAAATTTTTACGATGCGCGCTTGTCACAAAAAACGACACCCTGAAGTTATACACATTTTAGTTTTTTCTATTCTTAGTGTCGTTTTTTCTTCAAACGTAGATTAAAATTTTTGAAAAGATTTTTATCTTGTTACGCCAAAGTATAACTTCTAACGCGTGTACATACACACACGTTTTTTTATTTATTTATTGAAGTTTACGAGTATATTAACAGTATATGTTACAAGCTATCTTCTCTAAAATATATGAAAATTTTCTTAAAAAAAAATTTTTTTTTCAGCAAGAAAGTGGATTAGGTATGAGATAGGACTAACAACGCTTTCTTTTAAATTGATCAGCCTTATACCGAATATATCCATCTCCCGATAAGTACTCTTCTTGTTATTATTATAAGGTAGCGAGAGCAGACGCCTAACACCGCCAACTACCCAACTGATTACCTTTGCCAATTTTTGATAAGAAAACTCTTAACGACTTATAATAATGTAGACTTAGGATAATTAATAAACACCCCACTGGCTTCGGGTTCCACATAAAACTAAATTAATATTAAAGTGTCATCTTTGAAGTATAAAATTTAGCATAATGTAGCAATATTAGCATTTAATATTGCGTCAACACTAAAATATTTTGTTTACAACCAAAATCGAGACATAATAGTTTTTCGTCTGTATCCCTACATATTTTTAAATATTTTAATTTCGTATCTACGTTCTTTATAATATAAAAACATGTTGCTTTGAATTTTCATAAAAGTGGTACTTGATTTTTTTTTAAATTATATTTTTATAATTTATTATAAATACCGTACCTACTCTACATTCAAACGTAGAGCGTTTGATAATAAAAAAGGGGCAAAAACGGATGACACGTCTCTTGAAGTTGTTTTTCTTTCAGCAACATGCTCTTATTTCATTCGTATGAAAGTTACATGTTAATTTTTTAAACGGCTTTGGGCGCATCAAAAGTTTAAAAGTTGTTACACATTACAATGTGACCATACTTCAGGGCTCAGGCAGGTTTAGGTTTTACAGTTGGATTAAAATATATATTAATATTTGAAAAAAATCGTAACATTCAATTTATTTTTCAGTGGAAGACGCAAGCGGCCGCTACACGTCCATGTTCTACTGGGGCAACAACTATTGGACCGGTTCTGCCGAGCTTTGCCAGATCTTGAATGAACAACATGCTCCACATCACAATAATCGTAAGTTAAATGGTTTTAGGCCACCTATAAAAACCTCGGATGGCTTTTTTCTAAATTCGAAAATTTTCACTGGCAAATCATGGGTTCTGTATGAAGATTATTAGAAACAGAAATTACCCGAAAAATGATGGCGTTTAAAATTAAAACATGCTTGTATTATAACGAAAATTTGAAATAAGTACATAACTAACTTAATATAAGTGGCTATACGGATAATAGACTGACTATGTCCAGGAAGACTAAAAGAACGGACTTACAAACATATGACAAGTAATTTGAAAATATTTATTGTATTTTAACTATAAATTATAATTTAGTGGTACAATACTTTTTCGGTCTTGGTCTAACCGAAACGGCATCTTGTTCGTTGAACTCTACTTTTTAAGATGTGTCTACTGTCTAATACGTTATACATTTTTGGGTCTTAATTTCGGTTTGCTTACGACGTTTTTTAAATTGCAAAGAATATAGATATCCATAGCGAGTTTAAATAATATATTTTAACTTGTCGAAAAGTCGATAATTGGGCGGGACTATAAAAAAATTAGAAAAGCTATATTGCAAAAGGTTAATAAATACAGGTTAATTTATTATGTCACTTAAAATAATTAAAGGCCAACCTTCAATGTCTTGAGTGATTGTCACCAACTAGACTAATTCAGTGGTTATTATTATAAAATATATAAAGGTATTTCTTAAGAAAAGCCAGCGGGAAGTGAAATTAAAATTAAAAATCATATCTTGATTCTTGAATTTATTATGAAAAAATGTGGTAAGTAAATTTCAAAGATGTTGCGTGTTCAACATTATCCACTTACTTGTGTGACCTCCCGTATTATTCTTTATTTTAAGTCAATAAGTAAATTTAGACCAAACCAAACTACTCGTGTAATTTTTCTTAAATAAAAAATACTTACTCATAATAATACAACCCCAATAAATCATGAAACAGACCTTTTTGCCTGTGCTCATAAATTTGTAGCCAAGTTACATTTGTTGCTTTTCCGGTATTATTTATTTATAAATATAAATAAGATATTTAACGTGAAACCATGTAGGCACCTAGTCATTTCACCTATATCTCAAACAAATGTTACCAAATGTTATGTTGTGTTTTGTTTGTGGGATCTTTAATAACTCATAATCAATAAAAGAAAATTGATTTTGCTTCTAAATTATTTAGATGTTTACGAGAGGTATAGCGTGAAGCAACAGATTACAAATAACGAAGTGTGCTGTAACATTTCATAATCTCCGCGTACATTCCCCTGTGGACTGTGGTAGTGGGCGCGACTCAAATTCTGTTTGGTCATTTCTAAATCGAACCTTTATTTCTTCATAAGATGAATGATTCATATCGAACGAAATATATTGCTTACAAGTGATGATACATGCTCCATACATTTGCAATTTGTCATTTGTTATAAAGTAATTACTTTTCCCTTCATTCGGGATGAAATAAATAATTTATAGCTTTACCCATACCATGTTTTCTTTCAAATCGACAATAAACCTCAGAGAAAGTACGCTTTTAGAGAAAAAATAACAATTAAACAGAAATGTAAGGCTCACGAAGTCGCTTGTTCTGTCATTATCTAAAAGTCAAATATGCAGGCTCACTTATATCCATAACGATACAATAAACTATATGTTATGAAATAGGCTACTGGCAATAAATAAAATAAAATTTAAAAAAAGAACATTATATTGTGATTGTTTACATAATAAATTCTTCTATGAGCTAAGCTCATTGATACTCACTGTATTTAGAGCGTGAAAGAAACCGTATACCTACAACAATTCTCGAGAAAATTCTTAACAAACTTATATTGTTTATTTCACTTAGATTTTATAGATATGAAACACAAGGTTAATACTTTTACAAACAAGGTTTTAAAGTATTATTATTTAATTATGTACTTATTTCTATAAAAAAGCTGTAAATAGCAAGACTATAGATTAGGAATTCCATGGATGTTGCGAAATAAATAGCAAAGCTTAAGAAAATATCTTACGTAAATTTAATTCTATTTATCATATTTTTAAACTTCAAATATAGATATGTTAGATATAATAAAAAAACATCTTATTTTTATCTCACAGGCAGTGGAGGCTCGCAAATATTTAGCGAATGGCGCCAAGACGTGTCTATGTCAGGTCTAGGCCCTCCTTTCGATACAGCGTTCTACAATGTACGAATGAAAGTTACCACAGATCTACACGAGATTATTAAAACTGTAAGTACATCAATAAATTTAGTAGTATTGTGTTGGTGAGAATTATAAAACAATACTTCATATAATGACAAATCTTAAAAGGTTTGTTAAATAATGTCGACACTTATGTTTTATTAATTTTGCTTGTTGACGAAACAACGAATTTTATTATATTGTTAAGCTTTAAAAGGAATTATCGTTTGAAAGGATTTTATTATTTTTGTAATCTATTATTAGTATATTATAATGATAGAGAACCTTTTCCTCTTTTTGAGGTAGTAAACCTAGATTATTGGTGTTGGGTTAGACGGTAGGCGAAGTGAAAATATTTTTAAGATGTTTTATTTTCTATAGCGGCGCACAATTCACCTCGGCCTATGTTTTCCTCGCGCCTGCAGCCGTGAGCAGGTAGGCGCACTAGTGAATGCGGTCCAGTCTCCACTCCTTCATCACACGGTGCTCGCTGTTCGGTCGCCAGAACATGGCGGCTACACATACATCGAGGATCCGACCTTTCAAATTTTGCTGTAAGCCCTTTTAAAGCTTTGTTAACTTTTAGTATACTTTGCGTATTACCTTAGTTGGTGACTTAAAGATACTCATATACGAACATCAATGAATTTACATAAAAAAATAGACGGTTGTTCGCTGTAAATATATAAAATTCATCCTTGCCTGAGCACGAAATTGAGCTTCACTCTTACGCAAATTGGTTTATTAAATGACCTTTACACCACTTCAACGTTTAATAATAATCGTTGTTTTATGCGATAATAGATTGGCATCTTAAATTTCAAGAGTGGGCAGTTGATTGGCATATTTAGAAATAATCTAGTCAAGGTCTCGTAATTTATCTTCACATCTTGGTGAATGGTTGATTAAATAGTCGTTGGGTTATATTAAATAGCTTAGTTTATTTTTGCAAAAATGCACAAAGCCTTGTAGCCCAATTATTATGGATGAACAAAAAACAATTATTTGGACAGCTTGAATATTTTGAAACAACTTATAAATTTGATGATTTTTAATAATAAAAAATATTTTAGTTATTTAATTATACACAAAAATACATACACTATCCTTACAGTACTAAGCCAATAAAAATAATGTCGAAAAAACTGTTGAAATATATAATATTAACTACATAAGATATATATCGCTACTGTGAACTCACTCTTTGAACATATAAATGGAAATCAAAGAAATAAATAAAACAAAACACTAACTTGACTATCATGTAATTAATATCTAAAAACTAGTATACATTAGTTATGCGCTAGCTGTTTGATGGGCAATTCTCATCTAAGACTGCATAAACTCAGTGTTTAATATTACGTAATTTTTCTTAATAAACCAAATTTACTACTTTATTTATTCCAGAGGTGTATGCTGCTTAGTAGGAGCTCTACTTATATCCGCTACCATTTACGATGAGATCCTCTCCCGTGAGGTTCGCGCGCGGAGACGTCGCGTCGAAAATATGTCTGTCGAAACAGGCGCACATTTACACCCGCTTGATGCCATAACCGTCTCTAAAGGTAGCTATTTCTAATATACGTGTGTATTTCCCGGAACTCCTCTTGAGCGGCTAAACCGATTTAAATGATTTTTTTGTATGTGTTTGGGTGGCGCATCCAGGTTTAGATTCGATAGACAAATCAGCCCGACAGATAGCGCTGCTGGCGGTACTTTCATACTTTGTTTAATATCCTAACCGCTTGAAATATCATGCAGGGAAATGTCTATCGGGTCCGCTAGTTATTCTTTAAATATACTGTTTTCAATAGGCTTGAAAACACCTTAGCCAAAAAACAATTTTTTAAACAGTTTTTTATTTCAACAAAATACTTTTTTGAATTCATTATTACGAACAATTCAACAATTCACTTCATGGAGGAAGTCCTATTAGTATTATGCTCTATATATATATATATATATATATATATATATATCAATCAATATAATTTTAAATTAATGTTAATCTATAATAGCTAACGGCAAGGTGTTTAGTACTTTAGCTCTTTTTCTTAACATATATTCGATGCAGGAAAATCGATGTACAACGTAAACAACAACATAACGATAAACAGTAATAACTCCGAGGAACGTCTCACAGGAGAAACTGCGTCTACCGATGAAGAACTTAAGCTCAGTAAGTGACTTTTTTTTAAGAATTAAAAGTCAATACTTGATATAATTATACATTAGAAAATATAGAGATGCACTACTTGAACAATGCACATATAACTTTTAAGCCCAGTTAAAAAACTAGTACTAGTGGATATGTCCAATTGTAATGATTTGTCTCTGGAAATTTTGGATACAAAACTCTGGTTTATCTTCATCTAATACGTTACTTATATTACTTATATAACTTATATCGCTTATATTATTAATTCTAAGTCGTTTCTTAATTACATTGTAAGCTTCACAATAAAATAAAACCTTCAAAATAAACTTGTCTGCCGTGTGTACGCCTTATTACCAGTATTAAGTTTTTACCAACTTGTTGAACAGGTAATTTAAGTAATGAAGTAACGAACAAAAGCAGTCGCATTACAGACAAATAAATAAAACCTCACCATCCTCAGGTGTTTGGTCAGAACTGCTGTTGTCATTCTCCATGAAGGCCAACATTCTGCAAATCTTCGACCAGTCAGTGGGTGCTGACACTGTACCTGTTGTCCATGGTCTACGCTCGCTATCCATGGTCTGGGTTATATTTGGACACACCTGCATTGTAGTTTTTAAGGTAAGGAGGAAAACATTTCCTTTTATAGTATAGTTATCACTTATAAGTTAGTTAGTGGAGCCTTATTTTCTTACTTTACAGTAGAGTCTGTGCCGGGAAGAAAACCAGCGCTGCAGTTATGCGATCTAATATTATAATTCTTATTGGTATTGCAATCGTCCATAGCCTTAGGTTTGATAGGCTATACAATAATTGTAGGTTCACTTTAATATTATTCTTAACCTACATCGTAATAATACCTAATAACAATAATAAAAAAATTATAGATATATTTAAAAAAAATTAAAGTTTGATCTCTGTGGCATATTTTAATACTGGCAGCATTTCCTCACTGTATTTCGATTTGCGATACTAATTCGTTGAGCGAGGAAAGCACCAGCTGTTTCAAAATTACATAGTTTTAATTTTTCATATTATGTATCGACATGATAACTGTCAAACTATAACCTTATAGATCAAGAGCCCAGGACTGCCAGACCTTCGTAATTTTATAAAAGCTGAAAGTTCGACCAGAGACTATAGAGTTTGGGTAGTGGTTACTTACCTGTATAGGGTAGTGGTTCTTACCTGTATAGGGGACACGCACAGAAGAACTTTCAGCTTTTATAAAATGACGAAGGTCTGGCCTAAGCAAAGAGCCCTGGGCTCTTAGGATATTAGTATTTAAGCTATATTGCTAATGTTTGTCTATCTAATACGCTAGCTAAATAGGGAAGGCTTATGAACATACCAAACTCGAGAACTGTTAGTTTAGTCTTGGTTCTTAACAAAGACACACCTCTGTTTTATTTTTTCTACGTTCTAATTAAAATTATTTTAAAGATTCTGTAAAAAAAAGAGTATTTAAAATTCTCCTATAATATAACGCTACTAGGTAACAGTATTGTCAATATAACAAACCTCAAATCCGCTTTCCACGCAGACTCAATGCATCCATTAACTGTTCGATAACCTATATAAGATTTGACTATAGGGCAATTTAATAAATTTTGATCGCCTATTTGGTATTCTCTTAAAGTTCTCGTACTTTACATTTGCTCAACTTTAAATTTTAATAGAACGTCAACTTAAGCTTCATCGAAACGCTATTGGAACTTGATTGCGTAAAATTATACGAATCGCTACTGGAAAGATGTTTCTACGCGAGCTTAACTTATATTGTACTGAATAATAAAGTGTTATAACATTACAGTATGCAGACAACACGGCCCTCAGAGCTATCCTTGAAAAAAGCTTCTGGTTCCAGCTCATTATTAGCGCGGTGTACAGCGTTGACACATTCTTCTGTCTCGGGTATTTATAACATCCTATTAAGTTACATTCATCGGGTAAGTTAGACAACGGTAATTAGTTCGTTTATGCTTCTTCACTTGTTCAATAAATCTCATCATTGCTGAATCTGTTTTTAGTAGTAGGCTGTGTTTCTACTAAATCGCCTATGGTAAGGACAACTTGCGTTGATCTGCTTGTTATTTTTTTTACCAGAAAGTCTTAGTAGTCCTAAACAATGCTTGTTACATCGATAATGACTCATAATAAATTCATCTACAACATACATTGTTTAGTACAACAATGTATGTTGTAGCTGTAAGCCACAGCTCTCGAAGGGCCAAACTATAGTGACTGTTATTTACGAGCGTACATTTTCTTTTAATTTAGTACGATGGTATTTCTATTAGGGTGCTTACATAAAGAAACAGGTTTCCGGTACAGACAAATCTGTACGGGTCGGTACCGATCAGCGCAGGTATAATATTTCAATATAATCCTATTCACTCACTTATAAAGAAACAGGTTGTAACTTGTCGGTGCCGACTACCTGGACCGTGCCATACGGGTTTAAGCATTTACTGGTGTAGGGTGTGTTTAATAATATTAAAAATGGATTTGGATAACGAAGTTTTGATAGCCTTAGTGTTTGATAAACAATGTTTATGGGACAAAACTCATAAGTTCCACAGCAACAGAAATGTTACAGATAAGTGTTGGAAAGAGATCAGTTTGGAAATGAAACAGGATGGTGAGTACTTTCAATGATCAGTTCGATTTATTTTAATTTTGTAGTTATAAAATATTAATAATAAAGTATTACTTTTCATCGTCCTTTATATCTTTTAAGAATAAATGATAATATGTTCCATATTTAGTTCTTTTTCTGTTAATATCAGATACACTAACTGTTCTTCTCTTTCTATATTTGACGTAAGTACTTTCTAAAAGTAAAAAATCTTCGTCCGACGAACTGGAGGCCATGATTGTCACTAAGGACAGATTCACCTGTTTCTTTATGCGAGTCAACACTGTACCGATCGGTACCGACCCGTACAGATTTGTCTGTACCGGAAACCTGTTTCTTTATGTAAGCACCCTTAGTTAGTTATCCGTCTTGGGACCGTAGGGTTAAAATATTTGTTACAATTACAGTGGTATGCTGGTCTCATTCCTGTACTTCCGAACGAATGCGAAGGGAAAATTGGAAAGGCTAACTAAAGGTAGACGCAAGTTTACCGCTGGGGTACTTCAATTCCTTGGACTCATAGGATACAGATTCGCCAGGTTGGTTCTATTGTTTTCAATATGTCTACGCTACTTAATTGTAATTCAAGCTGCTTAAGCCTTATCGGCCGATACTTTATCTTTTCAGTTTTTTATGTATTATTTAATCTACCAACCCTATATTTCTACAGATTGACAGCTCCATACCTATTCATGCTTGGTGTGGTAGAAGTTACAATGAAGTGGTTCGCACACAATGCTGTATTTGACCCACCGGCGATGGACCACGAAACTTGCCCAAAATATTGGTGGAGAAACCTTCTCTATATAAACACACTCTTTCCGGTTGACCAAATGGTAAGAATCTAACCATTCCATCTATTCCATCCATTCAATCATATCATTCATTAATCTTATCATCTTATCTTATATAGACTTCCATTTCTAAGTCAGTTGCGTCAGATTTTTGCATAAACATCTTAGAACGGCCCGAGGTGGTTTCGTGAATTTTTATACCAATTTTGCTAATGTCTTCAGCAATATAAATTTATAGAATACTTGGGACTGATCTGGCTGAATATTAACATAGAGAACTAACAAAGTCACCTACAATATATAGTAAAATACGATATTTTTGGGTAATATTAGTTTTATCTTCTAGTGCATGTTATGGAGTTGGTACCTATCCGACGATACACAATTCTACGCAGTCAGCGCTATTTTACTTATCTTAGCTACGAGGTAAGGATATTACATACTTATTGCATATAAACCATACAGAACGTGTATTTGTTCCTTTTCCTTTAAAAGAAGTTATGTATTGTGATATAAACTTAAACCTTTCATATTTTGAGAGAGTGAGTGAATGACTAGAATGATTCGTTATAACTTATAACCAAAAAACACAAAAACTTCCGAGTTATTTGTATGCTCGACACGTAAACTTAACTGTTCAATATAACTTATTGGTAAACGCATGTTTATTATTTAAAAGTTTCTCTTATAAAGATATATTAGTGATTAAAAATATTAATTTTTCAGCCAATTCAAATTATCATTGGTCCTGACGGGTGTTTTCTTCGTATCATCACTCTTTACGACCGGATATGTTTCTTGGACAAGTCAACACATTCCCAATAGTGAAGATCCGTTTACACAGTTCGACAAAATCTATGACAAACCCTGGACAAGACTGGGACCTTACCTAGTGGGCATGGCGACTGGTTGGATCCTATTTAAGACTAATTTGAAGATCAGGATGAGTAGGGTATGTTTTTATATAGATTTTTTTATATTATTTTACTTATATAATATTTAATAACAATAACTTAGTATAAATAACCTACATTGTACATAAAAATTATAATTAATAATTATAAATATTATTCAATATAAATGACTCTACAACACCTAGATCTTTGCCTAGGATTTCTCTATCTGTTTTGTATTAATTTGTTCATAAAGCAAGTAGTAGTTCTGTGCCTGACACACGCCGTCGATTTTTATACGTAAGACATTTCTCTTAACGTTTTCTTTCTCTGTATAAATTTATAAATAAAAGTACTTATAGTAATAAAATGTATAAAATACCCGTAAAGCGAACTTGAAAAAAAAAATCTTATAATTACGTGCCGACAACTGTTTTAACTAAAGTATTTATATTTTTCACTGTTAAGCTCTGATGACAGTCAATTTAATTTTTATAAATAAGACGTGTGAAATTGTTATCGTGCACCATCGTGGGGTCAAATATGACAAATTATATTCTATTACAGATATGGGCAATTGTAGGTTGGGTAGTATGTACTGGAACCCTACTATTCCTGATCTTCGGCCTCTACCGGACTGAGTTGAGCGTGGGAAGTGCAGCAGTATACAGCGCCTTATCGCACTCTTTATGGGCTGCCTGTATAGGATGGATCATTATTGCCTGTTCCACTGGACACGGAGGTAACATTAGATTAGTTTAAAATTTATCTCCGTTTATAACCGTATTCTAAGTTAAGAGGCTTTTAGCCTTAGCCATTCTTATATAATCGAATCCTGTTATACTTACTGAAAGATTAGATTGTGTCTTACGGTACCCATTCCGCTAAAATAACTTTGTGTATAAAACAATTATAGCACGAAACTCGACCGGCTAAAGGTTCTTGTTCGACCAGGCCAAGGCTAATAATAACATTATAATAATAACAAATCAATATCAAACATTTAATTTGAAGAATCAATACAATACCAATATCTTGAGAGAGCTTATTTGTAAAGCTTAACAATAAGTTGTCAGCATATATTCATCTCTTTTACTGTAATACTTATCTTCATACGTGTGAGTAGGATGGGTGCGTCCGTTGCTGTCAGCGCCGGTACTGTACCCGTTTTCCCGCGTCACATACTGCGCGTATCTGGTACATCCCGTTGTGCTACGAGTGGTTGCCATGTATCTCACACATCCGATACATCTTGGAGAGATGCTTGTTGTAAGTATTTATTTATTACCTTCAATAAATTATTAGTACTTCAGCGCTCCATGGCTTAGTGACACACAACCAACAGACTACATTGGGTTCCGAGCAAAACAATTTTTTTTGTAGCAATAGCTCGATCAGCCTTGCCTTAAATAAAGAACAATGTTACAATGCAGAAATCTCCACTTCATGTTAAAGAATGGAGCGGACACATGCGTCTACTGCTGTGTTCATTAAACTTCGTAAATAAACCTATAAAATTATTATCAAAAGAAAGTAGATTACGGACTATCCAAGTTAAATTTAATAAACCTAATGTTTTTTCCAGTTCGTTCTTTTCTTGGGTCTTACTGTGATATCCTATTTCCTCGCGTTCGTGATCTCCGTAGCCTTTGAAGCACCAATCGTCACAATGCTCAAAATAGTTTCACCACAGAAGAAACCGCATCGGGTTTAAAACTTATTTATAATATAGAGAAGAAATACCAACGAATGTTGATGTGCAAGAAATTATCTTTTTACATTTTGTCAGGATTAGCTCTCTAGGTTTATAAGGCGCAAACACGATATTTTTAAAGTCACAATCAGATAAAACCTTATGATTAGAAACTTATTGTGGTTCAACAAGTTAACGATAGTCAGAATAATCTTGATAAACTCGAATTAAAATCAAATCGCTATTAAGTCGCTAATTCAGCATTTCGAAGCTGAGAATTGTTTAAAAACATCGTACAAAATTAAACTAAGAGCAACTAAAATACAGCTTTCAATTTGATAATATGTAATAATTCCAAAAGATAATTCAAACCAAAAGTATTAATTGGCAATGGCATTATAATTTTCTTTTCTATTATTAAATGAATGGCGTCGTGTTTGTTGCCATATAAAATTAGTCACTGACTTTGCATGTGTGAATATTTTCTCTTAATACTCTATTAATTATTGTTAAGTACAACAAATATATCACGTTTCAGAAATCTAAGAATCAAAGACAAGGTTCAATCTGACAATTATCATAATATTTTGACAGATATAGCTATTTCGCGCGTAAATTTGTCACTGTACTTGACTATTGCTCAAAAGACAACAATTTTTTTTTATAATTACAAAATGTGAGAGTATAATATTTGGTTACAGTTTTGTAAAGCTTATTGTATTATTGATGCACATTGTTATAATAATAGTTTTATAAAATGTTGACTGAAACGCAGACTAGCAAGAATGATGTACCGAACATGTCAAAAGTTAATCTATATTTAAGTTTTTCTTAGTGATTGTAATGTAGACACTAAGTTCCAAAAATGTAAATAGATTAAGTTATGTAAATACGATGTAAATATAATTTAGTTTTAAGATTTTTGTAATATTTTATAATAAAACACAATATACCTTTTTTATTCATTGATTTATTAACATTTCTAAACTTATCTAAACAAGGACTAGATCTGAAAAAAGGCTTGGTAGGCTTTTGGTTCTTCCACTTAGCCTTACATCAATATTCGTACATATAAAACATGAATTCTACGAATGCTTTTACTCGAAGGAAAATAAACTTCTTTTTTTTAAGTTTAATATCACCGATTAGCCAGGTCCGCAAGTCTTCTGAGGAAGGCGCACGTCGGCATTTCCACCAAAAGAGAGAGAACCAGCGCTGCAACTAAAGTTACTACTAGGATACCGGTGAAGTAACACCACTGAAAAAATAAACTGGAATAATTAACTGACCTCTGATAGGAAATTAAGTTTACAATTAGAATCACATTTATGATCTCTTATAGACGACACTTCATCAATTTTTAGCCATTTTCGAACGCGCTCTGTACTCAAAATAACAACCAAGTTTCTATAATTCACGTAATTTAAAAAAAAATCGTAAGTTCGTATCTGCCTCAATGCCATACAGTGAAAAATGTGATGTGATCATTAATTATCGAATTAGTTTCTCAAAATAAAAAGATCCAAATTAGGTTTACTTACAAGACAAATGAAGTTTGAGCAGATTGCAGCATCAAGACTGAGCAATAGATATCGCGATACCGGTCCGTGAAGCAACAGTGAACAATAACACAGCCGGCTTGCGCCTGCCACTAACGAGCTGTTTAAAAGCTCACGAGTCTTGTCTGAAAATAAATAACTTTTTTAAATTCCTTCTTAATTTTTAGTCTTCTTTTGTTTTAGTTTAGTCAATTTGTGACTTGATATTTTTGAATAAAACGTCTTCTTTGCATGTCTTTGCTATGTCCTTGCTTAGCTATTAGAGCTTTTAGAATTGTAAAGCTGTGAAAAATGTTGCAGGCCGTTGAAAATGGCTGTCTAAGAAGTTGGCAAGACCTATTTCTAACCCATTTTTGAAGTTATACTTCTTTAGGCGCGTTATGAAAAATTGATGAGAGTAATATTTTACGATACGCGCGCACCGTGACACAAAATTAACAGAATGAAGTTGCCCACGGAAGATGCTACGGCATTGGACATAATTTAAAAGCGACATTCGAATAATAATAGGATTTATGTTACACTTAATGTAAGAGAATAATAATAAATATTTATTTATTTTATTTTTCAAATGTAAACTGAACTTTATTGACTATACTGACTCCTTTTCCAGTCTTTGATTATTAAATTGTAATTAATTATTTGCATGCAATCAAACACTATTTTTAATAATGCCAAAGAAGTAAAACTTCTTACGCGCGTACACAAGTACACGCACCCTTTTTTTTAAAATAATACTTACAAGCAAACTTGGTAGAACACACCAAAGCCGGCCAGATCCAAGCAGCGGGCCAGACAAGATGAAGCCAGGCTGTAAGCCAGCCCACCCCTACTCCTGATGCCACACACGAGCCTAGTGCGCCCAGGGTCGACGATACCCACAAACAGACTGAAGAAACCTGTACATTACATGAATCTTATTAAAGTAGCAAAACTAATCTAAAAAAGTGAAAGTTGAAAATTTCACAAATACCAAACAAAAAAATCACTTAAAAAGACCATTTTTAAAATAGTTTGGGCTTAAATCGACTCTTCAATAGATTTTTGCATATAAATTATTAATAAATAAATACAATTAAATGATAATTTACTATGCCTTAAACAGTCTAACGCCCGAACCCAATAATTAATCCACAATCTTGACAGTCGATCGATCTCCTATCTGCATCCCAATAACCAAACCCAAACCTTTTTTTTTTTTTTTTTTTTTTTTTTTTTTTCTGCCCCCGCACCGGCTACCCCCCCCCCGCCGCGCCCCGGGGAAAGGGGGGGCGCGGGGGGGGGGAAGGGCCCCCCCCGCGCCCCCCCCCCCCCCCCCCCCCACCACCCACCACCCCCACCCCCTCCCCGCCGCCGCCCCCGCCCCGCCCCCCCCCCCCCCCCCCCCCCCCCCCCCCCCCCCCCCCCCCCCCCCCCCCCCCCCCCCCCCCCCCCCCCCTCCCCCCCCCCGCCCCCCCCCGCCCCCCCCCCCGCCCCCCCCCCCCCCCCCCCCCCCCCCCCCCCCCCCCCCCCCCCCCCCCCCCCCCCCCCCCCCCCCCCCCCCCCCCCCCCCCCCTTCCCCCCCCCCCCCGCCCCCCCCCCCCCCCCCCCCCCCCCCCCCCCCCCCCCCCCCCCCCCCCCCCCCCCCCCGGCGGGGCGGCGGGGGGGCGGGGGGGGGGGCGCCCCCCCCCCCCCCCCCCCCCCCCCCCCCCCCCCCCCC